TATATATGCACCTACTTGCAGAACCCAGAAATACGTAAAGCACAAATTGTCAGAATTAAAGAGAGAAATAAGGGACCAGGGCGGGGGTGGTGTCCCGGGCCAGGCGTCTGAGACGGCGCTCCGCTCCACCCAGCTCTGCTGTGTGTGCAGGTCTGGCTTGCAGGGGACCGAGATGGCCCAGCAGTGGGACAAGGCCGTGAAGCACTACGCTTTGGAAGAGATTCAGAAGCATAACCACAGCCAAAGCAGCTGGGGGATCCTGCACCACAAGGTGTACGACTCGACCAGATTTCTGGAAGAGCATCCTGGTGGAGAAGTCCTGAGGGAACAGGCAGGAGGGGGATACTACCGAAAACTGAGGATGTCGGACACTCTTTTTTTGTTTGTTTTTTTGGTTTTTTTTTTTTTTTTAGGTTTTTGCTATAAGATGCGTGCACTCGCCAGAATGACAGAGACAGAGATAGAAAGCTAAAAATCACCCCCCAAGGGGGATGGTCACGCCGCAATCCCTTCTCCTCCATTCTCCTCGCAGGATCTTGGGCATACACGCACACACACCTGGCGTGAGTTTAAGCTACCGGGTCTGGGACTCAAACCACGGTCGGCTACATGAGAGTTTAGCAACATAGCCATTACGCTAACTGCTGGTCCCTCGGCCACTCTTCAGATGCTCAAGAGCTGTCCAAAACATACATCACTGGGGAGCTTCATCCAGATGACAGAGCAAAGATAACCAAGCCTCCGGAAACCCTTATGACTACTCGAGTCAAAGTCCAGTTGGTGGAGCAATCGGCTGCTCCCTGCCGTCTTGGGCTGGCTGTCGCCCTGATGTATTGCTTCTACGTGGCAGAAGGCCTGGTACCTTCTCGGAAGCCAGTGTGAGAAAAGACTGCTTTGGACAAGGGAGACTAGAAGCCAGCGTTCACCACTTCAACTGACAGAATCCTTTACCTGAAAAAATGCTTTTCGTATGTTTTTTTCCCCCTTTCCTCCTCTATTACAAACAAAACAAAGACAACTGATCTTCCTACTCTTGAACTTTTCAAGTGTACCTTTTCATTCATCATTGATGAGACATCACTGATGTTTTTCTACTATGTAATTTACTTATTATAAGCATGCTCCTTTAAAAATATATATGGCTTTTTTTTTTTTTTTGGAGAGGTTTTCGCTATAGGGCGTGTGCACTCACCAGACAGACAGAGAGAGAGAGACAGAGAGACAGAAAGCGAGAAATCACCCCCCAGAGGGGATGACCACACCGCAGTCTCTTCTCCTCCATTCTCCTCTCGGGATCTTGGGCATGCACGCACACATGCCCGGCGTGAGTTCTAAGCCACCGGGTCCAGGACACGAACCACAGTAGACTACGTGGGAATCCAGCGACATAGCCATTACACTAACTGCTGGTTCCCATAAAAATATATATGGCTTTTAAAACAGAAAAAAAGAGAGAGAAATATATGATTCAATAATATCTGGAGACATCAACATTCCACTTTCAATAACAGGTAGAACAATAGACAAGTCCAAAGATGATTACTAGGAATTTGGAGAAGACAAAAGTAAACATATCAAAAAGCCAGATTCTCCATGGTACTAATTCTGGCCCCAGGCAGCTCGAAATAAACATGCGTGGTGCATGTGCATGCATACCCCAACTCCCAACAGGATAAAGAAGTGGAGAAGGGATGTGGCATTACTCCACTCTGTTGATGGATGCTTTCTCTCTCTGCCTCTCTGTCTCTGGTGAGTACATGTGCCCTCTGGTAAAATTTAAAAAAAATAAATAAATTTGGGGCAGTCAAAAATATTTGGAAATTAAACAACACACATATGGGCCAACAGTTGGCATGGAGGTTAAGGCAGCTGGATCCCACCTGAACACCTGCATAATTTGATTCCCAGACCTGGCGACTTGAAAAACACACTGGGTGCATGTGCACGCGCCCAAAATTCTGAGAGGAGAATGGAGGAGAAGGGATTACAGTTTGGCCATCCCCCCCAAAGGTGATTTCTCCTTTCCCTCTCTCTTTGTTTCTCTCCAGTAAACACACTTGCGCTACGGAGGTGGGGGGGGGGGAAGACACATGTAAAGAATAAATCATAAAGGAAATTTACAAAATACCTCAAGATGGAGAAGACAAAAATAAACATATCAAAATATACGAACTATAGTGGAAGCAGTGCTTAGAGAGGAGTTTACAGTTGTACATTTCTATATTAAAAAAAGAGTAAGGAGGGGCCAGCAGGTGGGAGGGGCCAGCAGGTGGTATAACAGTGAAGATGATAGACTCCCACGTGGTTGACCACAGTGCAAGTACCGGACACGGCGGCTTGAAACTCATGCTGGGCGCTTGTGTGTGCATGCCCAATCCTACGTGGCTGACCACATGGTACTAATCCTGGCTTTAAAAACATGCTTGGTGTATGTGCATGCATACCCAAAATCCCAACAAGATGATAAAGTGGAGGAGAAGGGATTGCAGCATGGCCATTCTAGGGTGGGGGTATATGAATTTTCACTTTCTGTCCTTTTGTCTCTCTGGTGAATGCATATGCCCTAGAGGAAAAATCTAAAAAAAAAGGAGAAGGAGGACGAGGACGAGGAGGATGAGGAGGACGAGGGGGAGAAGGAGGAGAAGGAGAAAAGAAGGAGAAGGAGGCCCAGCTGCAGCAGCTCAGCAGTAGCACAGCACTCTGTAATGCTTGGAACCGTAAGGAAGACTGGGCCTTGGTTCCTGGGTTGACCTGTACCTGTACACTGGGCACACATGCGTGTGTCCGCAGTCCTGGCTGACTAGGAATGCTGGAGGGAAGATGGTGGCATTCCCACTGTTGAGGGTGCTTGGCCTGTGTGCATGCTCTCTCTCTCAATAAACTTCAAAAAAAGAAAGGAAGAAACAATTTAAATCAATAACCAAAACCTTTCACCTTAAGAAATGAGGTGAAAAACGGGCAAGCAGGTGGTATGGTGTTTAAGGTGCTGGATTCCCACATGACCAATTGCAGTTCAAGTCCCAGACCTGTGGCTTGAAAATGACAACAAAGAATAGATTAATAAATAAATAAATACATGTTTAAAAAAAAAAGAAAAAGGGAAAAAATTAGGAAAAGGAAGAGCAAACTCGATCTAAAGAAGACAGAAGAAAGAAAAAAACTAGAGTGGAAATAAAAAATGAAAAAACAATAGAGAAAACTTGACAGAACAAAAAAATTGGTCCTTTGAAAGTATCAATAAAATTGGAACCAGCAGTTAGCGTAATGGCTATGTCGCTGGACTCCCAAGTAGTCGACCACGGTTCGCGTCCCGGACCTGGTGGCTTAAAACTCACGCCGGACGCGTGTGCGTGCGTGCGTGCCCAAGATCCCGAGAGGAGAATGGAGGAGAAGGGATTGCGGCGTGACCATCCCCCCTGGGGGGTGATTTCTCACTTTCTGTCTCTCTGTCTCTCTCTGTCTGTCTGGCGAGCACACACGCCCTATAGCAAAAATCTCTCCAAAAAAAAAAAAAAAAGAGAAAGAAAAATCAATTAAATTGACAAACCCATAGCCAGGTCGATCAAGAAAAAAGAAAATGAAATCGTTAAAATTAGGACTTAAAAAGGAGACATTATTATCAAATTATGTGAACGTAAAAAAGTATACAGGAATGCTATGAACAATTGTATACCATTTCATCTAATATATTAAATGAAAAAGGACACATTATTAGAAAGATACAAACTGCCAAAGCTGACTGGAGAAGTGACCCAAGTCCCATCCTGGCCAGGTAGGCTGAGTTCTCTCTCTCCTGCCACTGGTGAGCCTCCTCCTCACAGTTTCTAGGAAGCTTGTTTAATGTCTACCAAGTACTTACGGGGCAAATTCCTGTCTTTAAAGACCTCTCTTTAAAGACCATATCCCTGTCTTTCAAAGACCTCTCCACTCCTCCATTTGAAAGGATGCTGTTGTTCTGTAGCTAATTTTAGAGACCTCAGGTGGAAAATGTTGTTTGTCACCAGTGTGGTTTAAAAAACACATTAGCCAAGGAGGCAGAAGGCGTCATGGGGAAATTTCAGAGTCCATTAATCAGCTCTTCACCACATAAGTGAGTGACATATCCTGATTTATCACCTTTACTTCACTGCTCCCAGGAGAAATGTGGGACATTACCTCAGGCCAACTGCTCTGTATTGTCACTACCAAGAATAAGGAGCTGTGGCAGCACCATTTTGTGACTCCCCAACAATAGTGCCCCCTTGTTGGTTGCTAACAGAACCCCAGTGATGAATCATAATTAGTCTGAGTCAGTGAGACCATCTCCTTTCCCTTTGTCAGTGATGGGTCCCAGGGATGGACATGTGACTAATTCTGGTCAATGGGATTATGCTGTAAGGTTTGGCTCTCCTCTTTCTTTTCCTGCTTTGGATACTGATAGGTGAAAACGTGGTATCGAGAGTGATGGCAGCCATCTTGCAACCATGAGGTGACAAATCTGAGGTGAAAACCAATAAATTAAAGCTGATAGGGAAAGGTGGAGGAAAGAGCCTGAGTCCACAATAACATTTTTGAACAGCGAACTAGCCCCAAGACCACCGGTCTCTGAACTTGCTTGATAACACTGTCAAAGTCCCTGTGGTATAAGTCACCATTGCTCACGTTTTCATGTTTGCAACAACACATCCTAAGTGACCCAGAACGACACCAATACTTGAGTCAGGGAAATCTTGGTTCTTGGTTCATCCATTCAGATGGAACCTCATGGAAGAGATCAATGGCCGGGATCTGTAACCTAGTCTCCAGGGCAGGGCCACTCTCACTCTTCACTTCATCTCTTTGAATCTTCATTTCCTCAATCATAAAATGAGAAAGTAGAATCCAGTGACCTCAGCGTCTCTCCACTCCCCGTCTTCTCATTATCCGGAGTCGGGGACAGAAATCCTCAACGCTGCATCAGCCACAGGAACCCCAGCAGAGCCCAGCCAGCAGCCAGCAGGGCTCCGGCCTCCAGGCCGATCTTCTGCCGCCCTCTACTCCACTCCGCTCCATTCTGCTCTTCTGGGCATCTTGGGTGACAGCTCAGATTCTGGGGAAGAGGAGAAAATAATTGAACAAGAAGTGTCACTCACTTAAAAATAATGTTGGGGATGAGAAAGTAAAACCGGACCTCCAGGGACTCAGGATGGACTCGGTGCTGCTGGCCAAGGCCAAGTCTCGCATCTCTGTGGTCACTTCTCTGTGTTCACGTGTTGCAAAGCTGATCTGTGCTCACGGCACACATTTTAACTCATGGAAATGTTTAAGACAGTAAACGTGCCCCTCCTCCACCTCCCTAGTCCCAGTACTCCCAACAGATAACTACTTCCTTACTTCGTGCACATGTGAGTGAGAGGAAAAGAGAAAGAGAGAGAAACACCCCAATGAGACTCAGTCATGCCACAATCCTTTTTTCCTCCAATTCTCTATCCTGTAGGATCCTGGGCACACACATACCAGGCTTTTTTTTTTTTTTTTTTTGCTGCTGGGGCTTAAAAATCAGGACTCAAACCCTGGTCATCTGTATGGGATCCAGTTTCCTCTGTGTAATGCTTAACCCCTGCACTATGGGGCCAGCCCAACAAATGACAGCTTTTATTCCAGATTTTGCTATGCTTATATAAACTTAATTCTATGTATTATAGAATCACAGACAACATAGGCTGTTAACATGTGAAAAAAAAACTTAGAACTAGTAAATAGATCATATGCATTCACACAGATTTTTTTAAAAAACAAAAGTAGAAAACACACTGTCAAGAAACCTTTATTTTTAACAACTATATCTATGGACATCTTCCTTTTTTTCCTTTTTTTTTAGAGAGATTTTTGCTACTAGGGTGCACTCACTGGAGAGTCAGAGAGAAAGCGAGAAATCACCCCTCAGGGAGGATGGCCACGCCGCAGTCCCTTCTCCATTGTCCTCTCGGGATTCTGGACATGCATGCACGTGCTCCCAGCATGAGTTTTAAGCCACCAGGTCCAGGACTTGAATTGTAGTCGATGACGTGGAATCCAGAGTCCAGAGATATAACCATTATGCCATCTGCTGGTTCCTGGGCATCTTTCTAAGAACACATTTGCCACAGTTTTTCTTGTATATGCCTAGTTTTCCATACTAACTGGACACACTACGATTTTTTATATTTTAGTTTTTAATTGTCAGAGGAAGAGAAAGAAGGAGAATGAACTACCCAAAGGTGTGTGGTCACACCTGCCACAATCCTTTTTCCTCCATTTCTTCTTCCCCTCATGTTTGGAACACATATGCACATGTGCTTGGTGTGTTTTTCAGCCCACTGGGGCCGGGACTCAAACTGCAGTTGGTCACCTGGGATCCAGCTCCCTTAACCACTGTGCTATAGGGCCAGCTCCATACCATAATATTTTTAAAAATTGATCAATCATTTATTTTAATTTTTTTGGCCATAGGTGCATGTGCTTGCTGGAGAGAGACAGAGAGAGGGAAAGTAAGAAATCCCCCCCAGGAGAAATGGACATGCTTCAGTCCCTTCTCCTCCATTCTCCTCCTGGGATTTTAACCACCAGGTCTGGGACTTGAACTCGTTGTAGGCCATGTGGGAGTCCAGTGCTTTAACCACCACACTACTTACTGGCCTCGCACTTTTTTTTTTTAACTTATTTTTTATTGGAGACGTTTTTGCTGTAGGGGGTATGCATTCGCCAGGAAGACAGAGAGAGACAGAGAGACAGAAAGCGAGAAATCACCCCCCAGGGGGCATGGCCATGCCACAATCCCTTCTCTCCATTCTCCTCTCGGGATCTTGGGCACGCACACACACGCGCCTGGCACGAGTTTAAGCCACCGGGTCCAGGACTAGAACTGAGATCGACTACATGGGAGTCCAGTGACATAGCCGTTACACCAACTGCTAGTCCCATACTTTTTTCTTTTTTTTAAACCACTCTTCAAGTTCTATTACTGTTGCCATTTCAGACGTTTTTTAAGTCTATTTTGGAACCAGCAGGTGGCATATAGGGTAAGACGTTAAACTCCCACATGGTCAACCATGGTTCATGGACCAGCCCTGGTGGCTTGAAACTCATGGTGAGCATGTGTGCGTGCATGCCCAAAATCCTGAGTGGAGAACAAAGGAGAGGGGTTTGTGGTGTGGCCTTCCCCCTGGGGGTGGTTTCTCACTTTCTGTCTCTCTCTCTCTCCAATGAGTGCACATTCCCTACAGCAAAAGCCTCTAAAGGAGAAAGAAAGAAAGAGGAAGAAAGACAGAGGCAAGCACATGCGCCTGGCATGTTTTTCAGACCACTAGGAGCAGGAGGGAACCACAGTCGCGTGGGACCCAGCTCCCTTAATCACTAGGCCTCACGGTCGGCCCACCATATCTTTACTTTCTAGTAAAGTCAGGCTTCTCTTCATTTTTACTAACACTTTACATGTTTTCCCCTAAGAATTGTCTTTTAATCCAGCTTTTCAGTGGATTGTCTTATCCATGTTTTAAAAAATAATTATTTCCTTTATTTATTACATTTATTATTTTTTAATTTGATCAGAGAGAGACAGAGAGAGAAAGGGAAAGTGAGAAAGCAAGCTGCCAGGTCCAGGACTTGAACCACAGTCAGCCATGTGCAAGTCAGTCCCTTAACCATCACACCACCTAGTGGCCCTGTCTTTTTTTTTTTTTTGGAGAGGTTTTTACTATAGGGCATGTGGGCTTGCCAGAATGACAGAGAGCAAGAAATCATCCCCCAGGGGGGATGGCCACGTTACAATTCCTTCTCCATTCTTCTCTCAGGACTTTGGGCACACACGCACATGTACCTAGCATGAGTTTAAGCCACTGGGCGCGGGACTCAAACTGTGGTCGACTACAGGGGAGTCGAACGACATAGCCATTACACAACTGCTGGTCCCATGTCTTATCCTTTTTTTTTTTTTTTTTTTTTGAGAGAGATTTTTGCTATAGGGCGCGTGCACTTGCCAGACAGACAGAGAGAGACGGAGAGACAGAAAGCGAGAAATCACCCCCCAGGGGGGGATGGTCACGCCACAATCCCTGCTCCTCCATTCTCCTCTCGGGAGCTTGGGCACGCACGCACACACACCCGGCATGAGGTTAAGCCACCGGGTCCGGGACTCGAAGCCGGGTTGACTACATGGGCGTCCAGTGACATAGTCATTACGCTAACTGCTGGTCCCTATCTTACCCATTTTTAAAAGTTATTTTATTTATTTATTTAGAGAGAGAAAGAGAGATACCCTTGGCGGGGTCTTGCCACACAGCCATCCTTCCCCAGCCTCCTACATGCCCTGGTACCAAGAGCAGTGCCCTACTACCTGCCCTGCTGCTGCCGAGCCTGTGCTGTCCTCCCAGGTTATTATGTATTGGTTATTGCTAGTGCATAGTGAATATAGCGCATCATTTTTGCTAATCTACTTTTAACTTTTTAACTTTGTGATGTCTTTCTTTTGTCATACAAAAGTTTCTTTTCTTTTTCTTTTCTTTTTTTTTTTTTTTTTTGCTGGAGGGTGTATACATCCACCAGAGAGAGGAAGGGGGAACGTAAGAAAGCACACCCCCACCAGGGAATGGTCACACCGTAATCCTTCCAACTCCATTTCTCCTTTCAGGATTTGGGGCACCATGCACAAGCACCCTGCATGTTTCTCATGCCACCAGGTCCAAGACTCATACCGTGTAGTCAGCCCTGTGGGATTCAGCTGCCTTAACCACCAGGTCATGGGACTGATCCCAGAAGTTTCATTTTTATGTTGGTAAGTGTGTGGTTTATCTCTTCTATTATGGCTTTTGGACTTTGTGTCTTAAAGCGTAAGAATCAACCATACCATGTCTCCCCATACCACTGGCAAATCGTCCTAACCTCCTGTGTTGATCATCCATCCTTCTCCTCTGGGCTGGGGACATCTCCTTGGTCCAATATGAAGACCCCCACATACTGGTTGGCATTTCTGGACTGTGTTCTGATTCAGGAATCTTCTTTTCTTCTTCCATACTTTGAAAAGCACTGCATCTCTCTGTTTTCATGTCTGGCAGGGTGTGTCTTCCCTCCCCACTATTCTTTCTCTTAAATAATTATTTATTTAATTCTACTTATTATTATTCTTTTGTTAATTTACTATAGACATGTGCATTCACCAGAGAGAGACAGAGAGAGAGGGGGAAAATGAGAAAGCAAGCTGCGAGGTCTGGGACTCGAATCACGGTTGGCCACGTGGGAGTTCAGTGCCTTAAGAACTACACCACCTGCTCCCCTTCCATCACTATCTTATTCCAAGTTTTCTCAGCTTTATTTGTTTATTTATTTTAGGTTTTCGTCATAGGGCATGTGTGATTGCTGGAGAGAGACAGAGAGGGAAAGTGAGAAATTACCCCCTAAGGAGGAACGGCCATGCTACAATCCCTTCTTCTCCAGCCTCCTTTTGGGAATTTGGGTGCACATGCACACACACCTGGTGTGAGTTTCAAGCCACCAGGCCTGGGACTCCAACTATGGTTGGACATGTGGAAGTCCAATGCCTTAACCACCATGCCACCTGTTGGCCCTCAGCTTTATCTTTGTTATTAAATGCCAGACATACATACACTAATCAGATATAGATCACTGGCGAGGGAAAACGCACCCCTCAGTGGAGTATGGTCACACCATAACCCCTTCTTTCTTTCATTTCTTTATCCTTTCAAGATTCTGGGAATGCACTGGATGTGTTTTTCACAAGTCTGAGTTTGGCACCTTGGACAGCCATGTGGGATCTGGCTCCCTACACAGAGCTCTTAACCACTGCCCTGCAGGCCCAGCCCTTGACTTTATTTTTCCAGTGAACTTGGACTCACTTGTCAGGCTCCAAACGAGTATTGCCAGGTCACCAGCATCCAACACCACTCAGGTGAAGATTACGGAGTATAGCAGACACGCTCTGTAAATGAAAAAATCTGGACTTAATGATAATTTTTTTCTTTATTATTTTTTTTGAAAGGTTTTTGCTATAGGACGCGTGCGCTCACCAGAAAGACACAAAGAGACAGAGAGACATGAAGCGAGAAATCACCCCCCCCAGGGGGGATGGCCACACCACAATCCCTTCTCCTTCATTCTCCTCTCGGGATCTTGGACACGCACGCCCACGCGCCCGGCGTGAGTTTAAGCCACCGGGTCCTGGACTTGAAGCCAGGTCGACCACGGGGGAGTCCAGCAACATAGCCATTACGCTAACTGCTGGTCCCCGGACTTAATGATAGTTTTGAGACCTGGCGCTTGAGACTGAGGTCAGGAAAATAACCATAAAGCTTGGGGCCTGTTTGTGAGCATTCCGGGTGTTGCTTGGCTGGAGCTGGGTGTTGCGCCTGGCTCTACCTGCAGAAATCACCACCCTTGGGAACCGCAATGTCTCTGTGGAAGATCTGAGTGTGGCCACAAGTCAGCAAGAGCCCTTCTTCCCAAGGGCAGGTCCCCCGGGGAGGCCCGGGGTGTGGAGGGGCTCATGGGCTCTACTCACCGGGGTCCTCCTCCTCCCACCTGGCAAAACCCCTTGCAGAGTATGAGGTCAGGAGCCATGTTCCAGTGTGATGCTGGGACTTCATGCCAACCATGGGACCACAAGGCCATAGGATGGCCTCAGTTTCCCCAAGCGGATATTCTGTTTTCCACCATCTCAGCCACTTTTAAGGACACAGTTTAGTGACATTAAGTACATCCATGCTGTCCTGCAAAACCGAAACTCTGTACCCATTCAACACGGACTCTCCAGCCCCTGGCAACCACCGTCGCTCTCTGTCTCTATGAACTGACTGCCCTAAGGCCACAGCATTTTGTGACAGGCTTTCTCTGAGCACAATGCCCTTGAGGTTCACCCCTGTGGCGGCATCGTCAGAACTCCTTCCGACTTCGGGTTGGGAACATCCGCTGTGTGCACTGACCCTATCTGGGGAGCCACTGGGCCATGGCTGGACACCGGGCCGCTTCCACCTTCCAGACATTGCGGTCATGCTGCAGGACCACAGGGTGCACCGAGGTGACACCGGAGACAGGATGGAGGGAGGTGAGCACAGTGCCACCCAGAGAGGCACCCCCAACCAGGCAGCTCCCCACGAGCTGGGTGGAAGACAGCACATCTGGTGAGCTTCCTCCTCGATGACCCTGGAACAGCTTAGGCCCATCTTGGGGGTCACCCCACAGCTCCTGGACTCGCTCAGGGTCCATTTGCCCAATCCCTTGAGAAGGTGCCCCAGCTTTCCTTCCCCCACTGTGTGATCCCGTGTGGTTGGAAGTGTTCTTGGATCTGACTCACATGTCCCCTCTTCCTGACCTCCAGTGTCGGCTAGGTCACTAGGGCCTCACAGTGTCGTCAGAACACCCCTCTCCCTCCGTGGCTCCTCCACATCCCCCGCCGCCCCTGCCCTGGCAGGAACCAGCTCTCTCTCAAGTGGTGGCTGTTTTGGTCCCCCCATCCTGCACCCCAGAGGACCTGTGACCAAAGGAGTTCCTTGGCCCCCTCTTCTGGAATATTCTTTGGCCCTACCCTTGCATAATAACCACAGCACATGCTCTGAGCACCCTGCCCTCCAGCCTTCTTGCCAGATCACTGCCCCTGCAGCCCTCCCCGTGGCACGGGGTGCCCAGCCTGCACCGACTTCCTCTCTGCAGCCTCTGCCATCATTCTCGGCAGCTTCAACAGTGGAGTTCCCAGGGTCCTCCTGCCACAGTGCCCCGACCTCTTCCTCCAAATTTTCCTTTCCTCAGACCTGCCTGAGATTTCTGCCCTGGACATTGGACCTTGAGTCCTGGCCAGGGCTGCGACGTGTCACCACCAGTCATTGCATCAAATCCAGACTTGCTGCACCAGGGTCCGCTCTCTGACTACCGCCCCCTCTGCCAGCCCGGTTCCCTGCCCCGCACCGGCCCTCGCACTGCTGTTCCCGCTGTGAAAATGAGGACATGTGCCACCTCCCGGATAAGTGGCCACTGCCAGGGTCAGCCTCCAGGAGGCCATGCAGGACACGTGGCCTGCCCTGTGCACATGTGCACGGGTCCATGTGTGCCTGGCCAGGCCCGCACCCCAGCCCTCAGGACCCAGGAGCCTCGTGCTGTCTCCCACCAGTGGGCCCCATCCTCCCATCCCTTAGGAAAAAGCAAAGGAAAGGAATCACCCTCCCTGCGATAGTTTGAATAGGGCCCCCAGAAATTCACGTTCCGTCATTGTAAGAAGATTGGAAGGGCGAAAACTGGTTCCATTTATGGTGTCCAAAGCGGGACTTTGGGAGGAGATTGCGATGCTGGTCATCGGGCTGGGGTCCCTGTGGTGGTCCCTGGTGGCTCATAAGGAGAGAGACTCAGACACAGACCACGCTCCTGGGCCCGCCAGCCTGTGGTGCGACAGACGTGAGCGCAGGTGGTCCCTGTGAGCAGAATAAAAGTACTTGTTCTTTAAAAAGTTTTTATTTTATTTTATTTTATTTTTCAGGCCCAGCAGATGGTAACCTCACTGGACTCCCCCATAGTCAACTGTGGTTCAAGTCCCGGACTTGGTGGCTTAAAACTCACGCCAGGAACATGAGCATGTGTGCCCAAGATCTTGAGAGGAGAATGGAGAAGGGATTGTGGAGTGGCCATCCCCCATGGGGGCTGATTTCTCACTTTCTGTCTCTCTGTCTCTGTCTCTCTGGCCAGTTGGTAGCATGGAGGTTAACGTAGCTGTATCTCATATGGACAACAGCACGGTTCAAGTCCTGGACCTAGTAGCTTTAAAAACATGCTGGGCACATGTGCATGTGTGGTCAAAATCCCAAGAGGGGAATGGAAGAGAAGGGACTGAGGCGTGGCCATCACCCTTGGGGGTGATTTCTCATGTTTTGTTCTTGTGCCCTGTAGCAGATTTTAAATTTTTTTTTTTTAAGTTTATTGGTGCCAGCAGGTGGCATAGTGGTTAGGGTGCTGGACTTCCACATGGTTGATTGTAGTTCAAGTCCTGGACTCGGTGGCTTGGGGCTCACATCAATCTCATGCTCATGCATGCCCAAAATCCCACAAAGAGAATGGGGGAGCAGGGATTGCAGCATGGCCATCAGGGGCGATCGCTCCTTTTCCCTCTCACTGTCTTTGTCTCTCTGGTGAGCACATGTACCCTATGGTAAAAACCTTTTTTAAAAAAGTTTATTTATTTATTTTCTCCCATGAGTGAGAGAGAAAGAGAGAGCAAGAGATAGACACAGACAGCTCCCCCAATAGGGCCTTGACACCAGTCGACCCACGCCTCTGCGAGCCGGGACCCTGGGCACGTGTGTAACCCTGTGCACTCAGGAAGGTCTTTGGACGTGAACCTAGAACCTTCTCATGGGTCAGCTTCACAGTGGGGCATTTCCCCATATGCCACCACCTGACCCACTACACCTCTTTTTAATTTTTTTAAATTTATTTTTTAGCTTTTTTTTGCCAGAGGGTGCATGCAGTCACCAGAGAGAGACAGAGAGAGGGAAAGTGAGAAATCACTCCCCAGGGGAATGGCTATACTACAATCCTTTCTCCATTTTCCTCTTGGGATTTTGGGCATGCATATACATATGCCCAGCATGTTTTTCAGGCCGCCGTGTCTGGGACTTGAACCATAGAGTCAGCCATGTGGGACCCAGCGCTTTAACCACCATGCCCCCTGCGGCCCCTCAAAGTCTATTTTAGAAGTCGTCCAGCTGCAGGAGTCCTTCCTCAGCAATGGAAACACACCCCACTCCCACACCCTTTGCTGGCGCTCTGTCCATTTCTTTCTTCCCCTTTCCAGCAAAATTCCTCTGAAGAGACTTCCCTCCGCCTCCACTTCTTCCTCAGTCTCTCTTTGCTGAGGTGCCAGCCTTGGTCCCACCCACCCTGACACCGGCCTTGCATATCTTGCCAAATCCAATGGCTGCACCTTGAGCTCCTTAGTGGGCCTCCAGTGGGCAGCCTGTCACGGTCACCTTCTCCCAACCCTCCGGCCTCCACCCAGCCCAGCCTCTCCCAGGAGGCCCCGGTTTGGTGTCCTCAGGGTTCCGCTCCCTCTCCTGGGGTCCAGATGCCTGCATTCCCTCTGCTCCTCCTTCACGAGAGGGCAAGTGTCTAATACCGGCCTCCTGATGGCTGGGGCCTGCAGCGGCACCAGATGTCTGTCCACACGTGGGGGAAGCCCTGGCCCTTCCTCTCCTCCTCCAGCCACCCCTGCCCTTAGCCCTAGGAGCCCTCCTCTCTCACCTGAATTACTGTGATGGCCTCCTAACTAGCTTTCATCTTACTACATTATTTTTACACTCAAGTGTCCTTACAGGTTACAGCTCCCATGGCTTTCAGAGATGGTTTAGAAATGGGCAGGAGATGGGACCAGCAGTTGGCATAATGGCTACGTCACTGGACTCCCATGGAGTTGACGGCAGTTCGAGTCCTGGACCCGGTGGCTTAAAACTCACTCTGGGTGTGTGTGCGTGCGTGCCCAAGGTCCCAAGAGGAGACTGGAGGAGACTGGAGGAGACTGGAGGAGAAGGGATTGCGGCTTGGCCGTCCGCCCTGGGGGCGATTTCTTGTTTTCTGTCTCTCCAGTGAGTGTACATGCCCTATAGCAAAAAATCTATCTTAAGAGAAAAAAATAGAGAAGAAGAGAAAGGTGTAGGAGAGGCCCAGAAGGCAGCGTGGTGGTGAAGGCGTTGGACTCCCACATGACAGACCGAGGACGCGGTCCGCATCTCAGGCCTGCTGGCTAATCACACGGGATGCATGTGCGTGCCCAAAATCCCAGGAGGAGAATGGAGAAGGAAGGGATTGTGGTGTGGCCGTTCCTCCTGGGGGTGACCTCTCACTTCCCCTCTCACTTTGCCTCTCTCTCTCTCTGGTGAGTACACATGCCCTAGGGCAAAAACAAAAAAGAGAAAAAGAAACAAATACGCAAGAGAGGGTGCCCAGAACCACCCAGGCCCCGTCGAGACACTGCCTGCTCCCTCGACCCTACAGCTGCCTCGTTGTTCTCCTGTGATTGCTAACGATGATTTATTTCTTGAGAGATACAGAGAGACCCCCCCAGCAGTGTCCTCATGCTGGCGTCCCCACCGTGGCTAGCCAGATGGCGGCACTCAGTGAGGACCTTCCCATGGGGCTGCCTTGGTGTCCGGACACTGCTGCCCTGGGCCCTGCCCCTGCCCCTGCCCAGCACAACCCGCAGGGCTGCCACAGGGCCTTTGGACACTCTGCCCCCAGCCACCAAGCTTTCCCAGGTTGTCACGCGGCTTCCTTGCATAGAATCTTCAAATTGGTCCCCTCCTCCCAGAGGCTTCTTTGCTGTTTGTTCTCACCTCTCGCTCCTCTTCCTCCTGCTCAGGCACCCGCCATCTTGTGCATTCGTCTGTTTCTCCTCTGCCTCCCCCACCAGAATGTGAGTTTGTCTGTTCACCGTCATCTGTCCAGCACCTGGCGGGGTGCCCGGCACAGAGGGGCCGTCAGAACATCTGCAATGACTCTTAGGGCTGCTCAGAAACGCAAAGCTGAAGACGTGGCAGTAAATTAAACCAACACCAGGTTACTGCTTCTTCAGAGTCAAGCCTAAACAGCTGTTTGAAACAATCAGTGTTACGAGCCAGAAAAAAGTCACTTCGGATAAAAAAATAAGGAATTTCCACCCATCATCCCATGCTTTTCCTCTAAATCTGTCTGGAAAGAGAGAGAGAAAGTGAGAAAGCAAGTTGCTAGGTCCAGGACTCGAACCATAGTAGGCCACATGGGAGTTTAGCGCCTTACCCATCTTACCACCTACTGGCCCGTTTTAATGTTTCTGAAAAGGAGGACCAGCCCTTTCACATCGTGGCTGAGGGAACTGGATCCCACATGGCCAAGCACATGATTCAAGTCCCCGCTCCAGCGGCTGAGAAACATGCTGGTGAGAGTGCACGCCCCACACCGCAGCAGGATGGAGACGGAGAAAGGACTGTGGCGTGACCACGCCCTTGGGGGTGCTTTCTCCTTCTCCCTCTCCGTCCCTCTGGGAGAGCATGTGCCCTCTGGGAAAGTTTTTCAAAAGAAAAAAGAAAAGGAGATCACAAGGCCTAACTGGGTTATGTAAATATGCAGAGAGAGGCAGAACCTAGTCAGACCCTAGCCTAGCTGCTGAGACAGAGCTCGCCCACATTTGTGACCCAGCCTGAAGGGAAGCGCTCTCACACGACATCACAGTAGAGCATGTCTAAAACTGATCATATCAACATGCAGCGATGTAAGATTACTGTTTATAAATATCAGGAGAAGCTTCAGGAGGACTGGAAGTGTGGGGAAGGGTTGAGGGGGAAGGATGAGCAAGGACTGCTATCTTAACACAATTTAATTTCTTAATGATAACCAAGTAAATATATTCATTAAAAAATTTTTCAGGCCCGTTATGGTGGCCCGTGCTGGTGAGACATGGCATTCCCCACACTGAAAATATATAGGAAGCCTAGTTTGATTCCTGGCCCACCCTAAAAAGCTGGGTGCAATGGGGTGTGCCTATAGTCCCAGCTACTTGAGAGGCCAAGCCAGGAAGATCACCACAGAGTAAGACCCTGTTTATTTAAAACCAACCAAATAAACAAAAAACAGAACAGCGGACGGCGTAATGGTTACGTCACTGGACTCCCATGTAGTTGATTGTGGTTCTAGTCCTGGACCCAGCGGCTTAAAACTCATGCTGAGTGCGTGTGTGTGCGTGTCCAAGATCCCCAAAAGAGAATGGAGAAGGGACTGTGCCATGGCCATCCCCTCTGGGGGGTGATTTCTCACTGTTTGTCTCTTTGTCTCTCCAGCGCACGCATATGCCCTATAGCAAAACTCTCTCTTAAAAAAAAAAAAAAAAAAAGTGGGTACCAGGGAATGACACAGCAGTAGCACCATTGGACTCATATGGTGAAGGTCCGAGGTTCACGTCCCGGGACCTTCCTGAGTAAGCCTGGCACGTTCGACTGCTCATGATCTAGGCAGACTGAGACGGGATGGGTCATGGTGTGGGGACCTTGTTTGGGTGCCTGTCTCTTGCTCTCTGTCTCTCATAGAGGAAGTGAATGTCAAAACTTTGAAAAGGATGTATATAAAGCCATACCCCATATGTATACCACAATGAGTTACAAATGCATCAAGGATTTAAAATAGAATAATAAGGGGCCAACAGGTGGCATGGTGGTTGGGGCACTGAACTTCTACGTGGCCAACCATGGTTTAAATCCCGGACCTGGCAGCTTCCTCTCTCATTTTTCCTCTCTCTCTGTCTTTCTCCGGTGAGCACACGAGCCCTAAAGCAAACTTAAAAATAAAAATAATAAAAATCAAAATTAAACAGATAATTCTTTAAAAAAATAATAAAATAAAACAGAATAATGAAAGTTCCAGAAGAAAGCCCTGGAGCTCTCCTTTTTAATCTGGGAATGGGGAAGAACTTTCTAGCTTTGACTTAAAATCCAAATCCAAAAATAACACAACTTCTATAAAAACAAACAAACCATCGTAAGAAAAGACAAAGACAAACAGTCATCCGGGGAAACTGTCTCAGATCCTGGACAATGTCTCTCCCATCTCAGATCCCAGACAACATCTCTCCCATGTACGAAGAATTCACAAATAAGGTTTCCAAACACTCGGTAAGAAATGTGGGCAAAAAACATGAAAAGACGATTCACAGAATAGAGAAAAACAGAATTAAAAAATACATTCAGCCTCCTTTAGAACAAAATGGAAATGAAAACTAAATTCAGATATTACTTCTCAACTATCAGATCGGCAAAAATCCCAAGGTCTGATAATACTCTCCGTGGGCCAAGCTGTGGAGGAGCACTCTCTCATTCCATGCTTGTGAGAAAACAAGTTAGTTAATCCCCTCCGAGGCAGTTTGGCACTTTCTATGAAGAGTGCAATGCACACACCCTTCGACCCAGTAGCTACACATCTGAAACCTCCACCGGGCACCGATTATACGTAAGCTGTTGTTACAAGGGAAGACCGGCCACAGCCCCTATGCACATCGCCTGTGGGGTGACCTTCCATCTGAGTTTGCTCGGGCAGCCCTGGTATAACCTCTGCTCCAGTAGAATTAATTAATTAATTTATTTATTTAATTAATTTTTTTTTTTTTTTGTCACAGGGTGTGTGTGCTCACTAGAGAAAGACAGAGAGATAGATGGCAAGGGGGAAAGTGTGAAACCACTCCCCGCAAGGGGGGATGGCCACACCACGATCCCTTCTCCTCCACTCTCCTCCTGGGATTTTGGGCACGCACGCACATGCAACTGGTGTGATTTTCAAGTCACCAGGTCTGGGACTGGAACCGTGGTCGCCCAAGTGGGAGTCCAGCACCTTAACCATTACGCCACCTGTTGGCCCAAGTATAATTAATTAATAACAGATGCTCCCACCTCACTTCACTCTCTGAAGTGTCCTAATTTGGATGACAGAGTATATAGTGCCCTTAATCACAGAGGACTAGATAAATAAATTGATGCTATATTTACATATTGGAATGCCATGCAGAAGAAAAAGGAATGAAAATGTTTCTGTCTAGGGAAATGTCTCCAAGACACACTGCTAAATGAACATTTAAAAACTCAAATAAACTAACAAAAAAACCCCAAAGAGTGCGCACAGCATGCTTCCTTTGGGATTAAAGAAGCGAGGATGTGGGGACCAGCAGTTAGCATAATGGCTATGTCGCTGGATTCCCACGTAGTCGACCACGGTTCACGTCCCGGACCCAGTGGCTTAAAACTCACGCCAGGCGCGTGTGCGTGCGTGCCCAAGATCCCGAGAGGTGAATGGAGGAGAAGGGATTACGGCGTGGCCATCCCCCCTGGGGGGTGATTTCTCTCTTTCTCTCTGTCTCTCTCTGTCTTTCTGGCGAGCACACGCGCCCTATAGCGAAAAACCTCTCCAAAAAAAGAAAAATAAGAAAAAAAGAAGCGTTTCCCATATTTGCTTGTCAGTGCATGAGACCCTTTTAGAATTTGCAGAGTAACTCTCGCCAGTGTGTGGGTGTGGGAAGGGAGAGCCCGAGCAGGTGGGGGACGGTCACTGCATATTTTATCATAATTTGTTAACTTCTCTTTTGTGCGTATGTGTGATTGTGTGTTTTTTAAGCCAAGGTATTACTATGTCATGATCCTTCTGCCTCAGTTTCTTTCTTTCTTTCTCATTTTTTGGAGAGTTTTTTGCTATAGGGCGCGTGCGCTCGCCAGACAGACAGAGAGAGACATAGAGACAGAAAGCGAGAAATCACCCCCCAGGGGGGATGACCACACCGCATTCCCTTCTCCTCCATTCTCCTCTCGGGATGTTGGGCACGCACGCACACGCGCCCGGCGTGAGTTTACACCACTGGGTCTGGGACTCGAACTGTGGTCGACTACATGGGAGTCTAGTGATATAGCCATTATGCCAACTGCTGGTCCCTCTTTTTTTCTTTTCTTTTTTCTTTTTCTTTCACTGCCAGAGACCACATTGCATTCTGCAGAGAGAGAGACAGCCAGAAAGAGGAAGAGGAAGGCAGCGCCTGTAAGTGGGGCGTGGTCACGCCGCAATCCTTTCACCACTTCCTCCTTTCAGAAGTGTGGGCAAGCACACACCTGTCCAGCATGTTTTTAAGCCAGCAAGGTTGGGATTCAAACCATGTGGTCGGCCGTGTGGGATCTGGCTCCCTTACCCACCCAAACGGAGGCCAGCCCCCCTCTGCCTCAGTTTCTACCACGAGTATAAACGCACACCTGGGACTAGGGGTGCATGGTAGTGCACCCAGCTCTTAGGGTGGCGGAGAACCAGGCCAGGGTGACCCATGTAGACTCAGCCTGCAGAGTAGCATGTCAAACAGTGTGTGCAGCGTGGTGGCTAAGACACTTTCCCTGAACCTAGCTGCTACAGGGGTGTGTGGATGGGCTCTCTGATGGGTGGTAATTTGAGCTGTCCATTTTCAGTGCAATGATGGGACATTGTTTTGTACCTTTTGGCATCGTCTGCGCCAAGCACGCAGGTTAGTGACTGCTGTCATCATCAAACGACATCCACGCCATCACAGGAAAAGGGCCTCCCAGCTTCTGCTTTCGCGTCTGGAGGATTTCAGCTTCAAAGGAGATGCCATGGTGACGAGGGACATCTCTAGGGCCCCTCAGTGACCTTTTTTTTTTTTTTTTTGGGGGGGTTTTCCCTATAGGGGGGGGGGGTTCACCA